AACAACAGTAACATGTGCAAAATCTAATTTTTATATAGAAAAATTATATATTCCACTCTTATTAAATGTACCATTATTCTTCTAGTATATGGAACAGACCAACTTCAGTGATTGTGTGATTTAGTTGCAAATTGAAGAAAAGTTTGTTTTTCAAGGTACTTTGTGACTTTTCTTACTTCATACACAAAAAAGTGTAAAATTCGGACAAAATTTGATTTATGATTTGATATTTTATAATAGTGATTTTATAATTTCAAAATATAGAGAAAAAGTAGAAATGAATGACTAATAAGCCAATAAGTGCTCCTCTGCTGCCATCTACTGGTTATAATTGTGATTTGATGTATTTTTTTAAATTTTACATAAGAGTTTGTTTACCACAAAGTATATTTTGGTCATCCCATTAAAAATAACATTCAAACTGGATCATTTTAGAGCTTTAAAGTGCTGGAAATAGTTGTGCGAAATGCTTGAAAGTCATTGAAAAGTGCTTAATTCTCTCTCAAAAGGTTGTACAAACCCTGAAATGAATGATGTAATGCATTAGACTATTTCTACCACAACACCACGGTTACAGTTAGCGTTACCGCTTCTGGTTTCCTGACGTATGTCAGCGCTGTTTATAACACAGAATTCTGTGCAGAATTTAAATGATTCTCAGTAGATCTCACAACAACCTTATCATTGTGCAGCGAATTCAAACACTTCTCACTGGATCTCACTGAGCTCGAGCAAGTTTGTTTGTGTCACGGTCTGAGCTGAGAAATGGAGTGGAGCTCCTGAGAAACTGGAGCCCTGTGGTGTGTGGTGGGTTTCGTGATAACGGAGATGAAATGTAAACACACAGTTTACGCGTTTGAAAGAGCATGAAAATCTGACTAAATCTCCTCTGACAGCTTGCAGTGTTACATATCATCGAGGCTGAGAAGAGAACAACACTGCACGTTACCGCTTCTGGTTTCCTGACGTATGTCAGCGCTGTTTATAACACAGAATTCTGTGCAGAATTTAAATGATTCTCAGTAGATCTCACAACAACCTTATCATTGTGCAGCGAATTCAAACGCTTCTCACTGGATCTCACTGAGCTCGAGCAAGTTTGTTTGTGTCGCGGTCTGAGCTGAGAAATGGAGTGGAGCTCCTGAGAAACTGGAGCCCTGTGGTGTGTGGTGGGTTTCGTGATAACGGAGATGAAATGTAAACACACAGTTTACGCGTTTGAAAGAGCATGAAAATCTGACTAAATCTCCTCTGACAGCTTGCAGTGTTACATATCATCGAGGCTGAGAAGAGAACAACACTGCAGACAACAGGTAAATGCCGTTAGCGCTGTTTTCCATGTTCGTGGAGAAAAGGGTTTTAAATGGCTATTTAAAAATGCCGGGTAGCTGGTGTTTCGTGCGCGTTTGGCCATTAGCGTACACTTACGTCCCTATAGAACTGTTTTAGACCCTACTCTGAAGTAGGAGCTGATTTAATTCCCCCAAACGGAGCTCCTAGAACTGAAACTGTTCCTAGTTCCTGCGGTGCGAACACGCCAAAAAGCGGGAACTGCCGCCAATAGTTCTTGGAACTATGAAAAGGTTCCTCCGTGCGAAAGCCCCTTTGGTCCTGGTCACTCTCTCAGGGTTTATTTGGTGTTATTGACCGGCTGACTGTAGGTTCTCCCCAACCATCTGTTTTAGTTCATCCAACTAAATATGTGCATCACAAACAAACGTACGTCATTCCATTGGATTATTTTCTCTTCTGAATTGACTTGTTGGACAGTAACTAAAAAGATCTGATTATTCATTGAAATAAATAAATAGATGTCTACATTATTCTACATATTTTACGGTATACAGCAGGCAAAACACAGCAGCTACTGAAAGCGTCACTCACATCGATGTCACTGCAGCTGTTTCCAGTCAGGTTGGATGCTGGGATGATGGGTTTGCTCGGGGGCGGGGCTGAGGGGCTAGTGCAGTGAGGCATACTGGGAGACAAAGGCTCCATTTTAACAATAGCAGGAGCAGAACCCAGACACACCGACTGAGACAGAACCACTGCAGGAGACAGACAGACAGAGTCATCAAAACTCAAATGTGCTGGCTGCTAACAGAAGCACTGCTGACATTCAACCGGTTAGAAGCAATGGCACTACTAACTTAACTATATTTGAGTAGTGTGACTCATCATAAAGAATCAAATCTATCTAAATCTGAGCTGTGTTTGCTGCTTGAGGTGAGCTCTGTATTCTCAGTACATCAGTGGTGGTGTGCTCCAGTGTCGGCGGTGGGTCTCACCGGGCGTGGTGTTCTGGTCGATGGCTGGGATGGGTACGGGAACGCTCTGCAGGAGGAGAGCTTTGGCTGGACTGGTGCTCTGAGCCACCGGCAACGCGGCCACACACACAGGTTTGGGCTGGATCAGAGGTTTACTGCTCAGAATGCTGCTGGCCTTCAGCGTCGCTGCTGAGGAGAGGACTGAACGCACACAGAACAGGCCCATACTGCTCATCATTCACAGAAAAACCTCTCCAATCGCATTCAGCACACACTCAAGAACCAGCGATGTGTGGCTTCAATCACATTCAACCAGAGGACCGGCAGACAGTCTTCAGTGAATAATGACTTTTGGTGTGTTCTTCACCTGCACTTTAAACTGAGGTCAAATCAAACACATTTATTGGGCTTTGTTGTATTTTTTTAGAGTGTGACAGGCCCTGCTCACTGTATATGCTCATTCTATGGAAATAAGCATCAAGTGCTTTCAGTATATGTGACAAGATATTTTCATTTGCATAATATTTATTTCCTGCTGTGTTCGTTCTTGCAGAACATTCAAATGTGAGAGAACACGTCAGTCTAGAGGAACAGGAACAGAACTCACAGTTAGTCTCTCAGTGTCATGTTACTCAGAACAATCTCTTATATCGGATAGAGTCATCTGCCCTGTTTGCTCACTTTAAATCAAGCAGGCAGTGTGTGTGTGTGTGTGTGTGTGTGTGATGTGGAGTGGGTGTGTGTGAGTGTGAGTGTGACGTGGAGTGTGTGTGTGATGTGGATTGTGTGCATTCGTGTGTGTGTGTGTGTGTGTCTCTGTCTGTGTCTCTGTGTGTGTGTGTGTGTGTGTCTGTCTGTCTGCCTCTGTGTGTGTGTGTCTGTCTCTCTCTCTCTGTGTGTGTGTGTCTGTCTCTCTCTCTCTGTGTGTGTGTGTGTGTCTGTCTGTCTCTCTCTCTCTG